CCTTGAGCGGTGCACAGCAGTACATGGCGAGATCGCATGAGGAGGTGACGGTGCTGTTCGCAGGTGGGTTGCCGGTGGGGTGTGTTTGAACTGTGTGTGGCGGTGGTTCAACTTAGCGCCCGGGGTATTACGACAACGGTTTCAACTGACGACAACGGTTTGCCGTACTTTACCGTAACTGACGCACGTCCCTCGCTTACATAATATACAAAATACACTGTCACCGTGAGCTGTTTACCTTTTGTTATAATGGATGCTTGAAGTTTTTGAATTTTCTAATATTTTGTTATACTCGTAAAGTTGTGTCTTCAGTAATCTCTTCCTACCCCATGTGCACGTGTAATTTACGTGATGATGGTTCGAATTCTCTATGCGCCGTACACAGACATCGCCTCCTTCACCAGCATGTGTGGTCAGGTTCCGCCCCACCGAGTCATGGCGTTCCTCAACGACCTCTTCACCACTTTTGACCAGCTGGTGGAGAAGCATCAAGTTTACAAGGTCGAGACCATCGGAGGTACGGCATTGTACGGCATCGTCGTACATATCATAGTACGGAAGTGTACGGGACTGAGGCGATGCCGTTTTTGCATAATTTGGCGGAACGGCTGCCGAGAAGCGTGACTGTGTTACATTCGAGGTGCTCTTATCCTATCTTCATGTTCGATAGCCGCTCTCCTGTCTGGGCCTTTTTTCATAGCTTTTGATACCTGTGCCAAACCATCTTTTTCATATTTGCGTCTTTGGAAAACTGCCGCAAACGCTGCTTAATCTGGAAGCTGACCTAAATTGCTTCTTTCCGCTTTCGTCGAACGCAGATTGCTACATGGTGTGCGGCGGACTTGTAGAAGAGGACGCCGAGGGATTCAGGTACGACTGGTACGATCGGTACGAAACAAAAGGAAGGTTCTTTTGTTTTCCCTCTTGTTGTAGCTCCCTGTTGATAAAATTTAATACGCAACTTCTTAAACATCAGTCCTGCCGGTGCCAATCCATATGCCGTACCCACGCCGTACAACCTCCGCCGTACATCACAGGTCCGTTACAGAGGCCGTGGATCCCCTGCACGCGCACAAGGTCTTTGCATTCGCCGCCGACATGTTGGAAGCGGCTCGCTGCGTGATGATGCCCGGTACCGGCCAGCCTGTACGACTGCGAGTAGGCATCCACAGCGGCCCCGTCATGAGCGGCATCGTGGGGCGGAAGATGCCCCGTTTTTGTCTGTTTGGCGACACAGGTGTGTGAGTTTGGGGTTATATATTTATAGTTTTGTTTTGAGTCTCCGTTCTCTGTGAGAGTGAAGCATCGGCCAGCAGCAGTGGCAAAATGTCTTCGTGGTTCTTCTTGGGGTTTTATTCATGAATGGCTGTTTGGGGGAATATATGGGACTATTCACTGCACGACCCCGACGCGACAGAGCAAGGCCTACGGGCTACAGGTCGACCACTGGCCGCCAGGGCAGCACCCGGGGGGGGCCGTACGTAGCTCCACGTGTATGTAGCTCGAAGCTTGCTGCGACAGATGATGTATTTCTAGGCAAGTCCGCACATCGTACGTG